ATATATATATATATATATATATATATATATATATATATATATATATATATATATATATATGTATATATATATGTATATATATATATATATATATATATATATATATATATATATATATATATATATATATGTATATATATGTATATATATATATATATATATATATGTATATATGTATATATATATATATATATATATATTTATATATATATATATATATATATATATATATATATATATATATATATATATATATAATCCTATTCAAATATAATGATATTGAAATAGAAATGTTAGTGGCTCCTTAAAAAACTGGGATATTTGCTAATTTGTAACATTTGTCTCTTTTTTTTTGTTGACCCCTGTATTAGTCTGTTTCATTTTTTATCTCTGTGTAAAGTCCTCTTTATCTCTAGTTGGTCAAATGAATATAAATCATGAAAGCTTTGTATAAGTAATGGTGTCTCGTGTTATTTTTATTATTATGTTTTTTTTTAGTATTTGTAATATTAATTTTAAATATATTTCCTTTTTATACAATGTCATTCTTTAGTAAATACTTTTATAAAATGATAGTCAAGAGAAATAATTGATTTTTAATTTGCTTTGTACAAATCTATTACAAGGAGCTTATGAGCGCCCCTATTTGCCTATTTAAAAAAAAGGGGAAATAAGTCACGGAAGTGTTTTTATCGTTTGCTTATCTTTGATAAGTTTGATTGTAGGAGAAAGAAGACTCGGCTTTCACAGTTGTTTAAAAATAGGGGAAGAAGAATATACAAGAGCGTGGGTTGGTGTCTATAAAATAAAGATAATCCAGCCGCAGCTACGGTAGTCTTTTTTTTTACAAAACAACTATCAAGTCCAAATCCAAGAAAAATATGTTTTTACTATAAAAAAAATATTATTGTCGGCTGTAGGTCCCTAAATGGCATGCACCCCCCCCCCCCCCCCCTCTCCGCATTGCGGGGTCTGGCTTCACTGTAGTTCCGCCCCTGCTTTCTAATTTCAACTTTAACCATCTGACACTCACTGCCTACTAACAAAGATTTTAAAATGTTAATTCCTTTTTAATGAATCATCTGTTCCCTACATAACCTAGCGAGTTTTAGCTCAAATAAACGACTCGAAAATTTACTACTGGTGAGTAAGTACCTAATGGAAAACAGGCGAGAATTACATTTTTGTTGTGCAATTTTATTATGTAGATATATATATATATATATATATATATATATATATATATATATATATAATACATATATATATAAGGCTTGCGGCATAGGTATGAAAACAAATGCTTGCGCTATACCCTATATAAAATCAGTATACTAACTACCTAATGTTATATTTTACTTATTTAAAAAAAAACATATTTCTTTATTTTATTAAACATTTTTATGTAACCAATATTATAAATCACAGAACACATTATAAACATATAAAATCTACTTCATTTACCTACAAACAACAGATTCTGAAATTTGATAACACTGTACAATTAAATATTTTGTACTTTCATTAATATAAATGAAAAATTACTATTCACTCACCTATCTTGCAATATAGTTTTTAAATTGACCTTTTAAAACATTTAAAATACTAAGTATTGATTTTAGACCTTTTCAATTTTGTACTCCTTTTATTTTTATTTAGTTCCATTGTTTTTATTAAATCTTTTGCACCACCGCATATTGTTATCAATTTAAAAGTACAAGGGATAAATTGTTAATGTAATAATGTTTTCTCTGGCAGCGTGTACTGCCTACGTTTATAACGAATCTCATTTGTTATTAAAACAAAAATGGCAATTCAAGACTATTTGTTTTTTGAAGCAGTTTCGTATTATTTTGATAGACAGTGATTTAAAACAAATGATGATTTGTACTTGGCCTTTTGTTCCACTGTCAAGTAATTTAGTTTTTTTTTTATTTTTACTTTTAACTTTTAGACAATTGTCCGTTTCCAGTTTAAAATAGATCCTCAAGCAAGAGACCCTTTTGAGATGTTTTTTTTTAATACAGAGTGTTCAAATACATAATGGAACTGTTTGTAACTAGCTTCACAATAGCCGCATTTGTAGTATGCGATGTTCATGTAGTTTCGCATCTTGTCCGGCCAGTTGGTTGCTTTTGAAGTTGGTTACGCAAACAAAATAAGTTACTTCTGATTCGTTTTCTAATTGTGTGTGTTTTCTACGTTCCTTGACGTTAATGAAAGTGGGAGTAGGCAGTATCCCCAAAAAGCTGCCTTTGAAGTGACTGTATTTGCTTTGTTTACCTGTCTTCTATTGTATCCATGTTTATCTGTGGTTTTATAGCTTTAGATTCAGTCAGTTTTTAAAGATTTGGAACTTGTTGCCTCTCTTGCTTCTGAAAAATTCGTTGGTTGTTGCTTTGACAAGAGGTGTTGCTGACTCAGTTTTCAATTTAATTTTTTCTGATTGTTGCATGCTGTGATTTATCAGTGTTTTTATTTTTACCTTTTCTAATTGATGATCCTGTTGCTGTTGTGGGTTAATTCTGTTGGTGTGTTCTTGTTGTAACTTGTTGTAGAGGGAACTCGAGTGTTATTGATGTCTTTAATATCTACTGCGCTAGCTTGCAATGGTTCGTTCGATGCTGAGTGGAAGAGAAGAGCTGACACTCTTGTTTTATCCAGGCGATTGCGATTAAGATATGTAGTGGTGTTTTGCTTTTGTACTTTATTTTTAAGTAATGTAGGGGTGGTTGAAGTTTCGTCGTTATAGATAGGCGTCAAAATCTTTGACGCGTAGTACTAGGTGTCAGTTCTGAATACTCTTTTGGTTGCTGATGGGGTGTCTTATTATATGGCCTAATACATTTGGCTGGCCTATGGATGAGATGAGTCTATTCGCAACACCCAATATAATAATTCGGTTATTTTGTCTATCCGTAACTCGCAATTATTTAAAACAGCTTGTAGGTTAGATCTATAACGTTTCCATGAAAAAAACACGAAAATATCTGTCAGTTACAAGTACATGAAATGTAACTCGGGCGTTCGATCTATGATGACAGACAGACGTATGACAGACCGGACGAGGAACCAAATAAAATAAAAGACTGTAAAAACGATACGTGAATTTAAAGGTACATAGAGGCGACTACTTACAATTTATGTTACGATTCTTTAGACAGTAAGGCATCTACTAGAGCAGAAAAAAACATATTTAATTCAAATAAACCGAGAATGATCTCACTTAAACTTTCTCGAATTTTCTAATATAACACTTCGGCGAGTGCAATTAGAGGTTAAAAACGATATTTTAAATACATTTTTATTTTATTAAACTTAAAAAAAAATAGAATCTCGTAGAAAAAAGAATTTCAAGTGAACGCCAAACAATCTGTGTATAATACTGCAGAATATTAATAGTACTTTAGAAATTCACATGCGTTTTTTTTTTTTGCGGAATCGGAAATAGCGTAAATTACTACTTTCGATCAACGTAAATTACTCAAAATTTGGAAGAAAACAGAAAATTAGATATTTTACTTACGTGTGAAATTTCGTTCATCTTATAGTCTTTTGATAATTTGCAAGTTGAGTTTGATATAACTCAAATTCGATATAATACGTTTATATGAAATTTCATTAACTTAGATGTAACAGTATTCAAATTATCATGTTTACAGACACACATACACACACAGACATAATAACAGAATGGCGAAGTCCAGTTTTTCCGACTCGATTATACATAAAACGCCAAAATTTTGATACACCCGGATTTATAAATTTTGCCCGATTAAAAAAGTCCTCTATACTCCGGATGTGATGATGGACTAAGACCGGTTTCAGAGATTTACAAAATCTGGGTGGACGTCCACATTGATGAGGTGGGGAGTGAGGGGTCTAAAATTCCAAATTTGTGGGGACGTCATAAACGGACTCCCCTTATGTTTATTGTACATACACTGTGTTTACTTTTGTTACTAAAAAGTAATTTTAAATTATGTTAGATTGTATTGCCATATGATTTCGTTGTTACAGTGTGCATGCAATCACTATTTATTTATATTTAAACTTTCCAGACATGTATTGGCTGGTAATTTTGTTCCTGGCACTGGCTAGCCCACTCGCAAAAGCTAAGCTGTGTGATAATTTACCACCTGGGTTGGCGAAAATGACCAGGGGTGTAGACATCTCAAAACTTGACCTTCTGCCAATCGACGTCGTTGGCGATGACGGTGTCATGAGTCCTGTTTTTTCTCTTACCTGCGATCAAGGCAAGAAATGGAGAAGTGTTAAAGGCACCGTGTATGATCTCCCTGATCATGTAATGTTTTTAATGTCACGTAAACAATTTATATTACTACATCTTTTACATTTTATTTTTAAACCCGTAGACATACTTTATTATTTCTACAATTTAAATTATGATTTACTCTGTGCTACTCGTGTGCGTCTAAACTAATATCATTTAACTATCAAGCCTATACTTCTGTTTTTAAATACATGTTCTATTATTTTGTCCCTTTACGTTTGACTCTATTTAAAACGTTTTTACTAACACGTGTTTTGATTTATTTGTCTATTACCTTAAATGCTAATACGATTTAATTACATTGTGTACCGAGCAGATTTGGCAAATGACTACAGTGCCTGGTGGGTGGATGTCCTCTGAAGCACGCACTTACAAATCATACAGTGAAGTCAGAAATTCAATGGGCACCAACGTCGGTCTGGGAGCGGATGTGGGAAAATACTCTTTTTCCGCTAGTGTTAGCTACAAGAAGATGCAGAGTTCCATCACCAGCTCTTCAAGATACATTTCTGATATTACAGCATTCGTAGCGGCAACCAGAGCGGACGTAAATCCTCCCGAAAAACTAGAGTTAGATGAATACGCGCTGAATTACGTTAATACTAAACTTCCTAAAACATTTGAAACAAATCCCGCCGCATATAAACAATTTATTCAGACGTATGGTACTCATTACTTTACTACAGCAAACTTTGGTGGTTTCATTAGAATGGTATTTGAGACTAATACCGCGTACTTTAACAGCAAGTCCGAAAGCGAAATTGAAGCCAATGCAAAAGCTTCCTATATGAAAATGGTGTCAGTGAGCGTTGGGGTCAGCTCTTCGTCTGGAAACGTCGATGAAAGTTTTACATCTAATACGAAGTCATCAATCAAGTACTATGGCGGTGATTTGAACGTTTTAGCTAGCGGAGGTCTATCTAAATGGCAGCCAACAGTTGAGGGTGACCCTTGGCTTTTTACTGGAAAGTTGAAGCCTATTAGCGACCTGATCAAAGACCCGGCTAAAAGATTATCTATGGAGCGCGCCGTTAAAAAGCATTTGTTACAAGCTTATATTACGGAACAGGAGACACTCATCAACGTTGCCAGAGCCAAATCCGACAATTCTGTAATTAACTCACTTTTATCCCGCGTCGCCGCGCTAAAAAGAAAGTATAATAACAATCTTCTCGACAAATTTAAAACTATCGTTTACATTCCACAAAACGACAATAGCGACATTGACGCTTTAGCACGCGATTTACAAGAATATGTATCTGTGCCATCATGGTTTTTGACCAACACACAGATGTGCTTGTATTGGAAGGGGACATCGGACTGGTATCAATGTAACGGGAATGGTAATCAAGGTCTGTGCGCCATAACCAATTCTATGACGCCATGGTACATCGACTGGACTAACTGGAGAGCTGGAGGATGCATGATGCAATGGGCCATTATTTCGGCCAACTTTCCAGCCTGGTTTAACGATGTAAAAATATGCTACCAGTTTTACGCCGAGATTGACATAAGGCAGTGTGGTGGCAATGCAGGTGCCGTGTATTGTGCAAATGTGAATAACTACACTCCAGAATACTTTGACGACACAGGTGACCGTAACGGGGGCTGCAGGATGCGTTGGATGCTTCAAGTGCCCGACACAGCCCCGTACTGGATGAAAGCTGTGCATATGTGTTATAACTGGGTAGCAGATGGTGATATTGCTCAGTGTGGCGGGGGAGCACCAACAAGCCAATGCGTTGTGGCCAACCAGTGGACCACGTATTATCTGGACTACAGTGGAATGAAATGGCAGGGTGGCTGTAAAATGAGTTGGGGCTTAAAAACAGTCTACTGACGCACTTAAAATGTTGTTCGGAACGTGCGCCAATGAATAAAGAAAAATTGAAATGCATTCAGCTTTGAGACTATCTCTATAAACTAATATGTTGCGTATTTTATTTTAATTTAAAACTTTGCATTTTTACTTTCTCGTATACGAAGTATAAAGAAAAAATTTTAATCGTGCAAAAAAAAACAACAAAAAAAAAACAAAAAACAAACAGATTTTTAGAAATTTCGACATTTTACACCTCCTTGAGTTGGATGTGTTTGTATGTGCATGTGTGTGTTTGTGCTTGTGTGTGTGTTTGTGTTTGTGTGTGTGTGAGTCCGACCCATGGAGTTTTTTAAACCCGATTACTATATATCTTCTGAAAGTATTAAAAACAACTTTTTAATTATAAACTGTTATGTAATAGTGACCAAAAGAGAAGAAAACAAATGATTTTCTATAAATAAAATAAAACGTGAAGATTAAAATTACTATAAAGAAAAGTGTCAGTTTCTTCCTTAATATTAGTTAATTATCCATTAGATAATACATTGACACACACTTTTCTTTATAGTAATTTAAATAGTAGTGTATTATTATAGAAACAGGATATTACCCATCCCCACCCATTTACACCGCTGACATTTCCTCCCGACATCGCCCCGGAGTAATTAGCCCCCTATTAATTACCCCCTTTCAATTACCCCCTCCCCTTCCGCCCAGTAGGACTATACCCACCTAGGTACAGCTAGGGCTAGGGCTAGGGCTAGGGCTAGGGCTAGGGCTAGGGCTAGGGCTAGGGCTAGGGCTAGGGCCTTCTAGGGTTAAAACTATAGCTTTTCTAAATCTAATATATAAAGCTCAATTCTGTACGTAACATGTAATAAGTTTGTCGTTGACATACTTGGATGGATTTAAGTGTTAGATTATTATCGTGCTCATAGTCTAAATTTATGAGTTAAAAAATTACTATTGAAAGTATTGGGAAATAATTTTCATTTTTCAAACTGATTGTAATAATTGTCGGCGTGTTCATTAAACACAATTTAAAAAAAAATATCATCTTTTACAAAAATTCTAATTATGTCTGAAAATTATTTATATTTAGTCCTTTAGCACTTACTTCCCTTTGATAAATTAGGAAAACACAATTACTTCCCTTTATAAAACATTGCATTAGTGGAAAATAATTTATTTTTTATTACTTTGTTTTGGTGTTGGGAAAAAAAATAATTACATAATTAGCGGGGATCGATCAAGTGCAAATGCTGTAGGTATGTTACGGTTACGCTTGGAGTATTATAATTGTTCATTAAATTGAAACAGGCGCGTCCGCCGGCTCCCCACCAGGGTTCAATTTGGCGCTCTGGGCTATCCTGTGAGCGCTATGGTGCATAATTTCGCTTTAAACAGTGCGATAGAGTATGGATAAGAAAGGTTACTATAGTCTTTAAGTGAATCGAATCCGGGCGTCCTCTGGTGCCCAGACAGGGTGCTATTTGGGGCCCTGGGCCTCCCGTGTTCGGTTTGGCGCCTACGTTCGTTTAAGTGAGTGCAAAAGACTATGAATAAGTTGGGGTACTATAGTCGTTTATTAAAATGAGAAGTGAAACAGGCGATTCCGCCCCGGGCTAGACTGTGAGCACTTTGTGTTTATGTTCGCGTTAGTGTTTTCTTTGTGTTTAGGTTGGGTTTGCGTGAGTGGTTGCGTTTTGATTTGGTTCGTTTTTGTTCTTTCTTTTTTCATTTTCGTTTGTGTTTTTTCAATGGGTTTGTATTTGTGTTTGTGTTTGGTTTTGCGTTTGGATTTGGTTTGTTTTCATTTGCTTTTTCATTTGTGTTTTTTTCTTTGGGTTTGTGTTTGTGGTTGGTTTTGCGTTTGGATTAGGTTTGTTTTCGTTTGCTTTTTCGTTCTTTTTTCTTTGTGTTCGTATTGGTATTTGTGGTTGGGTTTGTTGTTAGGTTTTTGTTTTCGTTTGCTTTTTTATTTGTTTTCTCTTTGTGTTTGCATTGGTGTTTGTGGTTGTGGTTGGGTTTGTTGTTAGGTTTTTGTTTTCGTTTGTATTTGTAATTGTGTTAGCGTTATGTTTGCGTTTTGTTATTTAGGTTTTGGTTGGTTGTGGTTTGGGTGGGAAATGCCGGGTTTATGAGGATTAATAAACACACAGGTAATGGTCTTTAACAGAAACGTTTTTCACAGAAGCCAGAGCAGGGCCTGGGCGGGACGGCTAGTAGTTTTCTAAATTGTAGTGTATCATTTATTATCTCCTAATTAGTGCATTATTGTATAAAAGCTTGCTATTACAACGTTTTTCATCACATTTTTTTCACTACTTTTCCTTTTTTTATAATAGAGTTGCAAGACTAAAAAGCCTTTGCACACCTAATGAGCGTGACGACGCGTGTATAATACCTATTATAGAAAATTTATGAGGCAACCAAGTCAAATTTAATGTTATGTTGCATTGTCTTCATGTCTTGACCCACGTACTAACTACGAATCGTATCTGATTTTTAGAAGCGCCATTATTTGTGGGCGAGAAAACGGTATCATTATTATAAATTACCTCTTTTAAATTAGATTTTGAGATATGAAAACAATGTGAATGAAATATTTCATTTCTTGATTGGAAGATTACACCATTGGTGTTTGTTTATCTTAAACCAAAATCAAAACCAAGATCAACAACTCAAGTTCAAATTTAACAGGAAACGACAAATGTCATTGACAACTTATTTTTATCCAGAATCGTCAAATTTACCAGATTTAAGTTATTGCACATTGATAAAAACATAATTGAAGTCTTACTCCAAATCCTTGCATAAAGGTCAAACATCACAAAAGTCGCATTTTTAGGTTCTTTCTGGCGACTCTACATTGGGGAGAGGGGGGGGGGGGGGCGAAACCCCACTCCCTTCCAACCACCTCGAAGCACGTCTACCGTCTTCTTCATCAACATTGAATTTATAAAGAAAAAAATACTTTTACCAGTGTCTGACTCCTCCCCAGACATTTAAAACCACCCTCCCCCCTCCCCTTCCGTAAAAGTCTTAAAGAAACACCGGTCGCAATTGTAGATTATTGACTAAAGGTAGAGCCTACTTCTATTATATAGAGCCGTTTCCTACCTTTTAACCTCAATCATAGAGATATTGTTTCATTCAGAATTTTATCTCTAGGGGAGGAAGGCATTATATATTTGTGATGGGGGTGGGTGCAGATTATTTTATTCTGGGACTGACACTTGTAAAAGTATATATTTCCTATATATATGTATATATATATATATATATATATATATATATATATATATATATATATATATATATATATAGGCCTATATATATATATATATATGTATATATATATATATATATATATATATATACATATATATATATATATATATATATATGTATATATATATATATATATATATATATATATATATATATATATATATATATATATATATATATATATCTTTATAAGTATTTCATTTTTTCTGGGTGGGGGGGGGGGTTAGATGTTATTTTCCTACCAGAAGAGATGCATAAAAAAAGCTCTGCACGCAGCCACTTTCAAGATTAAACAACGTTGGTATTTTAATTTTATGTTTGCTCTAGACTCAATCAAGGCATTTTATTGCGTTTATTATTCCGGCTTTAGAATTTTTCCCACTATTTGTGCAGTATGATGTCATGTTTTGTTTTTCGTTTGACTGCGAAGGTTTTTACTTTGCTTGTAAAAGCGTTCCAGACAATGTATGTAAAACGAACACTTAATTAATGTTTTAATAGAACATAGCAGAAACAAATTTACATTTAGTAATTGTTTTGTTATTATTGATACCGATAATTGTTTCATATACTTACTAAACATAATGACAAAAATAGAGTAACTTAGCTATTTGCTGTTATTATAATAATAAGTATAAACGAATAAAAAATAATTTAAAATAACCGAATTGTTTTGTTGACGGTATTTTACGACATGCAAATACTTTCACTTTTAACTTTCTCCGATAACTAGTTTTAGAATCATAATTCCGTACTAAAAAGACACATGCGCCGTTTTATTCAGTCCACCGCTAATTCTATTTAGTAAGAGGTTATACCAGCCCCTAGGACTATGACGTTAGATCGTTGGACGGAAAACCGGTTTTTCAGCTATTTATGCATAATTTTGAAGCCAGCATTCCGGCTTGTCAAGATCAAGGGGTTAAAGTGTGTTTATTTGTATGTGCACACCATACAACGATGGTCCCCTTATCACTGACATCACTGGTGTTGTGAGGCGAGCGATGAGACCAGCTGACATCTGAGACTACGTTTTACCATTCAATGTTGTATCTGTACAGCACATATCTGTTTACATCTGTCTTCTACAGTTATGTTGTCTTAGAGATTACACGACCTGTTTGTTTTTTAAGTCAATCTAAATAAGATGTGGCTGTAAAAAAAAATGTATCATTGCTCAAGTGTCACAATCCTTTTTGCTTACTTAGATGAGCAACAAACGATTAATTACTACACATAATCGGACAACATAATTCCTTCCTTTTTTAAAGTTAAATGTATATATCCTGGAAGATTCATTTCTTTATAACACTGTGTAACCCTCACTCAGTGGGGATGCTTTTACCCACTGAGGTGTTGTGATTAAGAAGGGCTGACCTTGAGATTTAGGACACACTGACACCGAATGTTGTTGTCAAGTACTCGCTTTATTCACTACATCGAGCCATGATGGCGATGCAGCACAAGAAAAGTACGACGATTACAGATGAATACAAGAAGAACAGCAAAAAACACAAAGAGAAACAAAAAACTGTAGCCCTTCATTAGGTCTACGTCTTGGTACTGTCACCGTGTCCACAGACAGCCCTTGCGTGTGACTGACACGGCTAGGCACGAAACTACCCATAGTCCTATGTCATGGGACAGGTATAATCGCTCACAAGAGCATGCAACACAACTACACCAACAGGGCTACGGCCCCACAGGGGCCTCAACTCAATGAA